TAAAGCTTGACGAATAAACATACCTTTTATAATTGCACCCATACACTCTTTCAAAAGAATGGTATTATAACAAGTGTTGTATGCACGTTTTCCAATACTATGCTTGTTGTATTTACGAGGCATTATGCTTTTAACAAAAGTAAATATAAACAACACAAGCAAACTGCAATGTAGTAATTTATTAAACTATTATATAATTTTATTAAATTGCAATTAAACTTAAAACTAAGAGTCTATAAATTTTAATCTTGCAATAAAGTTAATAAAATTATGATTTAGCAACAACAACAACAAATAGTTTAACAAGAAAATATACTTTTTTTAAAAGCCTTAAATACATTCGTGCTAAAAACTGTTTATCAAAATAAATTATTTGGATAACATGCTTCAAAAAATATTATAGTTACAATTTACCTGAAAAAGTGGTTTCTGCAATAACAGTAAATTCTTTTAAAGCTAGACTAGATAAACATTTGTTAACGGCTGTTAAAGTATAAATTTTAAACTTTATGCTCCGCGACAATCGTCGTTTCAGCAGTTTGTATTACTATTACTATTACTATAATAAATAATGATCAGGCTACTTTAAAATGAATATTATTTACTTGGCCAAAGTAACCCTAAATAAGTATAAACCTACAGGGTAACTTTGACCACCCTGTAAAAAAACCAGAATGTTGTTACTTGAGCCAAACAATAGTCGCCTAATTTTATCTGAACGTTTGTCTTTAAAACAGAAAAAAAAACTTTGTTTTGCTATCGTTTTTATCTTCGCCCAGACAACATTTTGTTTTACAGTTTTTGATGGTGTTTTACCAAAATGTAGTTTTCATTCTTTTTCACTTATAGTAAAAAGCATTTGCAACAAACTTCTATCAAAATTTAAGCAAGAAAAATTGCATTTACAAATAAAACAAAAATAATAAAACGTTACTTAACTGTTTCAAAGTTACAAATGTTTAATTAAAGTTTTTAAAAATGGCCAAAGTTACCCCGGTTTACAGTACTATTTTTTTGAAATAAACCGATAAAGTTATATATAAATTTGCTTTTTATGTAAATTTTAAATATTTAAACGTAGTTTTGCAAGATTTGCAATGGGTAAACCTTGTGGGACCCTCACGGGATACCCATCGGGCATACCCATATGGGCCCCAGAAGAAAACCGCGGCCAAGATCCGGCGGTTTTCGATGGGTTTTCCATATTGGTTTCATTTGCAAACCCAAATGGGTCCCTTACGGTTTTAAAGTACGGAATTTGACTAGGACCCATACGGGATACCCGGCGGGCTAACCCATATGGGTCCCATATGGAAACCGCGGCCATGATCCGGCGGGATACCGTTAGTCTTTCCATACGGAACCTAGTTGACGACCCATATGGGCCCCGTACGGTACCCGTATGTCAATGTTGGCTGGGTTAGGGTCAGGGTTAGAGTTTTATAATCCATTTTTTTTGTATACTTGTATTGTAACTTCATTATTTTTATGATGGATACATTTTTACTGAATTACATATTAAATTATTATTAAATTGATAAACATTTTTATTATTGAGTTTTATTATTTATTACAACAGTTTTAATATTGAAAGATTTCCATGAATGTAAAGGCTTGTATTACTGTGAATAAAAAGTATAAACAGCTACAAAAAAGTATTTCCGGAATTATAAATAGTATATTTAAATAAGCTGTTTGAATAATGTTTCATAATATTGGTAATGAACTGAAGTGTTAACGCAATTTTCTGTTTTTACAGATTTAAATGTTTTAAAAATTTTCCATACATTTGTTGGTGCATATCTTAAAAAACTGTGTTTCTCTTAATTATGTTCATTAATATCCATTTATATTTCATGTTCAAAAACAAAGCATTATATAGTTTGTTTTTAATGTTGATTAACATCTGATACAAGGCATCAGATATACCTTGTATGAGGTTATAATAATCTGATACAAGGCAGCAGATTATTATAAACCTTGATGTTTGAATTAAGGTTGTCTCTGTAATGCTCCAAATGATCCAAGCAAGTATTGTGAATTTCAAAATAGATATCACAGATGTAATGACTTGCAAAATTAGTACTGCTAGAATTGTGGCTTGCAAAGCTCCTCAGTTGCTTGGCCTTTTTTATTAAAGTATTTTTTTGCTGGCAAATATCAAAAAATAATGTACAAGCAACAAATTATTTGGTTTCATTTCATTTCTGAAAATCCTTTTGTATTTTGATTTTATCTCGATTTCAGAAATTTTTTTTTTATAGTAGTTGATATATTTTTTTAGACTTGGATTTTTTTTTATCATTTCAAGATATTTTCATATAACCTTCATGAAAAAAAATGGCATATTCAAAATATAAAAAAAAATGTGTTTTTTTTAGTCTCGATAAATATTACCTGTTATAAAAATTTCATAATGTTATGTTTTTTATTTATTTTGAATAAATGGTGTAATTGTGGAAGGTGTAATTGTAAATAGTAATTCTATTGGTTTAAGATTAGGCTGTTCAACAAGCTATGCAGGCTACAGTGTGTGTAGATTTATGAAAAAGAATTTGCAAATTAAATGAAAACAGAACATGTATGATAGATTGATAGCAGTTGTAATTTTTTATTTTTGCTTTTGAGCTATTTGCAGGCTCTACCGACGACTTACCTTCAAGCCAATTTAAAATATTTTTCATAGCAACATGTTCTAAGAAGAATTTTCCTTTTATTTTATTTACTAGTTAGATTACATATATTTAATAATTTTCTTTTTCTTCTTCTTTAAATAAGTTATTTTGGAAGATTGTTTGTTTGTTTTTTACAAAATTTTAAGTTTAAAAAATTATTTTACTTATAGATTTTTAGTTTTTTAATAATTATTTTTTATTCAGGAGTCTAACTATAATTGGTGTGTCCGTTTTTTGTAATATTTTTTCTAAAAATATCAATATAATATTATGTTATCAATGTGAGAAATTAATCTCAAGATACATTAAAAAATGGTAGAATGTGGATAATGAATGTGTATAGGAAGTATATAGACCTATGATCCTTACGCTTTGTTTTATTCAATCAAATTCAAGTTTAATGCAAAATTTCTGTATTGATAGTAACCTCTCGCAAAAACTTTCAAAATTGATTGGACAATTAAAATATTTTAGAAATTTTTTCATGGTTTCCACTTACTATGGCTGTAAGTTTGAAACCACGCACAAACTGGCGATCGGGAGTTTTTTGAACGAAATTAACGCAGTCGTTTGTCACTAAAAGTAATCAAAATAACACCATTTAAAAAACCTTTAAATTCAATTAAAAGCAAAATGACTCCAATGAAACTTGAAATTTTAATATTAGCTATTCCTGACCATCTGGAATCATCATCTTTAACCACCAAGTCATATATGATTTAAAGTTTTTTTTAAGTTTAAATTAGTCATTTAAAGTTATCAGATTCCTAACAAGAAATAATGTAGTTAATAATAGAAATAATAAAAAACTTAAAGAAATAATGTTTTTAACATAAAATATTACTAAGCTCTTTTATAAGAAGTTTTTAAATCAGTTGTCATAGAAAACTTTGATCAAAAAAATTTGTCTTTCGATATTTTGTGTTGCCACAAGATACGGCGTAATAAAACTTAGTTGGTGGTTAAAATAAAGCGCTCGAACTTGAGTAGGGACGGCACATAGCATAGTTATTAATATTGCATACAACTATTTATTGAAAGTTGCAATAAAAGATGGAAGCAAAAGCTGCCAAATTACATTGTAAAAGCTGCTGAGCAAAAAAATGATATGCGTATGCAGATGTAAGATAAAGAATTTGTTGAAGTAAATGTAAGATAGCACAAAAACTTGCTACACACCTTTACACGCATGATAAAAACAAAAAACATCCCGAAACGAAAAAATTGATTATTTTTAAATAAAATAATTAGTTCATTTCTACAGGGTGGCATTTTAGCCATTTTGACCAGAAGTGGGGTATTTCTACAGGGTGGCATTGGAGTTAAGAAACGCTATTCAAGGAATAGCTGACTTCATATAAATTTAGCCTTCTGTTTTACATTTGTTTTTCTTAACACAATTTTTATACTTTACTCTTGGATTTTCGATAAACCATTGATAAGCAACGTTTTCCATTTAAACGCCAGTAATACATAAGTTGTTTTTATTGCGCAAACTCTTATTTATGCTTTATCAAAAAGAGCGTACAAATATCTACAAATGTCTTGCACTTGGTACTACAGTTTAACAACTTAACCAGATTTAGCAAGCTTACTAATATTTCAAATGGTTTTGGTCATTATATATTAATTTCGACTGTGTCTCCATTAGCAAAATTAAATTTAATAAATAGTAATAAATGAGTCTAGAACAACTCATATTTATCTTGAAAATAGTATTCAAAAAAAAAAAAAAATACAAACCCAAAACTTGGCAACGTTATCCAAGAAAATTAAAAACTGCGACATTGTACTGACTATTGTACGTTCTTTAGATAACATTTAGAAGTTTTTTTCGGTGGAATGAAGGTATAATTTTCAAGCTTTAAAAAGTATTTTATTATAAAATTACTTACATTTATTTTGGGATAGGCAAGTAAAAATAGGCAAAAAATTTAACATAAACTGGTATTTAATTTTATTTTTATATCTTTAATAAACATGATGTTGTGGCGTCCCATTCAATTAACGGCGTGCTATAAGTAAAACATTAACATCGGTCTGTGCGTTGTCGTAAAAACGCCTTTTTTTTCAATCAATTTTGGAATCATGAAAGAATGATGAAAATTTCGATACCTTTAACCTTTTGAACGTTTTTTTAAGATAAAATAATACATTTAAGTCGTTATTTTTGCTACTAAAGTAATAAAACAATACAAATAAATAACCAATAACAAACAAAAAAAAAAAAAAGATTTCGGAAAAAATTCGCAAAAAAAAGTGAAATTAAAAAAAATGGAATTTTACATCAACTTAACATACGTATACAAGAAAACTTTTAATTAATGAATATCCTAACAGAATACTAAAGTTGCAACTATTAAATCATTTCGAGCAAAAACTATTAAATCCTTTCGAGCAGTTAAAAATTTTGATTTGGGTCATTATCCACAGTGGTTACTAAATGTCATTATCCACAGTGGTTACTAAATGTCATTATCCACAGTGGTTACTAAATGTCATTATCCACAGTGGTTACTAAATGTCATTATCCAGTTAGTGTTTACTAACTGTGGGTCATTATTCATAGTTGCTACTAATCTAAATATGATAATAAAATACAAACGTATATTTAGTTATAGTACAAAATATAAAAACTATATATATATATATATGAATTAATATTTTCAAAAAATAAAATAAAATCATTTAGATGGAACTAGCAATACCATACAAACGATCTGTACACACCTCGTTAAATTCTAATTTTTCAGCTCAAATTTTCACAGTTGTTGTAAAAATTGTTTTGCTTAAATTTTGAAGCTTCGATGTTTTGATAATTTGTTAATGAATTTGATAAGTTAATGAATTTGAAAAGTCAGATGCTTTGATTTGAAGTTATGAATTTGAAAAATCTGATGCTTTGATTTAAATGTATGAGTTTGAAAAGTTACAGATTTTGACTTCAATTTAATTCATTTAAAATTTTGGAACGTTTCGATTTCAACTTGTAATATTTGATGTGGTTAATTGTAATATTTGATGCGGTTTATGGCTATTTTAATGACTTCTTCTTTAATTTTTTTTGGTTTAATTGTTTGTGGTAAAGCTTTTTTTTTAGTATTTATGTATTTACACTTTTATATTTTTATAATTATACAGAAATATTTTATAAATATTAATATTTTTATAAATATACAGAAAGTATAAAATTAGTTAAACATCATAAATTCTCTGTAAGATCTGCAAAATCTATTATTTACCGAGAGCAAACTCATTTGTTTCAGGTTTTTTATCACTCATAAAATACTCATAGTTTCGATGATTTTATCATTAGGATTCTGATAGCTTTATACTTATACGACTAAAGCTCCGACGCAATATTTTAGATCGATAAAAGTAAATTGCAGGATTTGTTAAAGATTTAGTTGTTGTCAGAGAGTATGCCCACAAATAAAATGTTTGTGTCCATGACCAAGAATAGCTAATACTTTTAAAATGCCATAAAATAAGCAATGAAACGAATGGTAGATACGCAATGCTTGTAGATAAATAAACCATTAATGTTAAGTTGTTCATTTTCATGTCTTTTTCAACTTTTTTTCTCGCAACTAAGTTCCGGTCCTTTAACTTACGCTCATTTTTATTTTCTATGAAATTATTTTTATTTCCATCTGAAAAATTTTCTTTTGGATTTTGTGTTAAAATTATTTTTTGAACCATTTTTACTCTGATATGCAGTCGAGCATGAATATAAAAAACTATCAGTATAAATATCGGAGCCATGAATATTATAACTAGCTCAATTAATTTTTTATTTTCGGTTAAAAAGCTCAATCCTGTTACTAAAAAAACACAAATTGCAATAATACAGACCCATTTGAAGTAAAAGCGTGGATTATTATTAATGAGCTTTTGGTACAAAAAAGGTTGAAAAACTGCCAGATACCGATCAATTGAACCCAAGAAAACTGTTAAGAAAGATATAAACCCAAGCGAGTAAACTGTAAAAACCACAAATAAAAATAAATTACAATTATGCGTCCGTAATGTTGACATTATCACAACAGCTCCCCACGGAAAAATTGAAAACATTCCAATTAATAAATCGCAAAATGATGTAATAGCTAACAATATGTTTGCAGGGTTTTGCATATTCCGACTGTAATAGGTTATTCCAACAATGTAGAAATTTAAAAAAATAATTGGAACAGATAAAATAAAACTAAAACAAACTGCTGCATACAGCGCTCCATTGGTTTCTAAATACACAGTGGTCCGAGAACACCTGATAAAGTAATACGACGAATTCATATTGGGTCAGTTTTGACTTAAAAGTGTAAACTCGTTCCCTCCATAAATAATCATTGCATGATTTTGAACAACTTATAAAATTTTAAAATCTAATTTGAATATCAATTGGTATTTTGTTAAAAAGCTTTTTTTAAGAAGTTATAATATTACAGCAGATGGAAAAATTGTTATTCTTTTTTTCTGTTTTTTTGTTGTTTTTTTTAATGCTATAATGACAGTTGTTAGAACTCAAACAGCAAAACAAATAACAAAATAACATAATAACAAATAACAAGATTACATAATAGCTATATTTTATCTCTTTTCTAAATTATGCTGTATAATTTAATGCATATATAACATATTCAATAATTTCATTCAAATGGGTAATTTTTCATTTAAAAGATTTTAAGACAATTAAAGAAAATAACAAAATGTTTTTTAATATTTTTTACTGAAGTATTTTGTACTGTAGGCTTATTACCGTTTAAACTTAACCATAAATATTTAAGTTAACAAAAAAAGCAAATTATTTGAAGTTTTTTTTTAATGTATTTTTTTGGTTGTTTAAAGCATTGCAAAATTAAATTTTTATAAACACAGAGTGGAAAAAAATGGGGTTAAAGTTTTGTTGCTTAAAGCATATTTAATTTACCAAAAAATTAAAACTGAAGAAGATATTGGATAAATAGATAGATAAATAAAAAGATATTGATAAATTTAATAAAGATAAACAAATAGATATTGAACAAATCTTTTTTAAACAAATCTTTGAAATCTTATTGAAATCTTGCCAACATTTGTTTCTAACAGTTAGCATGTCTACTGATGGAACCAAGCAGTTCTCTAGCGTCTTTTTTATGTATGTTGGTTGATTTTGCCTGTATAAATAATGCACTCGTGTGCTCTTTTAAAATTTAATTAGCTTTAAATGTCAACTCTCCAACCGCTACTTAGCAACCTCTTTGTCATCATTATTGATCATTGTTATTAGTATTATCATTTCGCAAAAGTGTGTATACATTAAATATGTATACAAATATTTGAAAAACATGCGCATACATTTGCCATCGTTTACCGAATTAAACTTAACAGTAATGTTTGGTATTTGGTTGAGTACAATTTTAGAATACTCGAATCGGACTATTGCAAGCCATTCAAATCTTGTACGAGTATAAATTCATGGTACCAATTAAACATTTGAACCAAAAGTATCAATACTGTTAATGAAGCAAATTCCCTATACCTAAAAAAGATGCTACAATGAACGCCAACAGTGCTACCATTTCCATTCCAACTGATAGGACTGTGTTAGTCACATATAATTCTACCTCTACTGGTTAAACCTATCATAAATTGTCATTAAGCTGCCCAACAGATGTAATTGCTTGCAGTTATTGGAGACTCACTATAATATAGACCAACCAGAACCTAATGATACTTTTAACACTTTCACAGAAGATTATTAGTAACAACACCCTATTTCAGCATGGTACAAAAAGAAAATATTAAAAAGATTACGAGAAAAGTTTTTCACTGGTTATATTACTCTCCGCTACTTCTATTTTATATTTTGCCTTCTGGTCTTTAAGCAATAAAGCAGGCTCTGCCTTATTGATAAAAAACTTAGAGCAATTGTCAAAAAAACTTTGCAAAAGGTGTCTTCGAATTTAAGAACCTCAAATCATCAAAAAATTATGAATAATCTATGAGACAATTAATTTTTAATAAAGTTTTTCATATTTAATGAGAAAATGGTTCTAATCTAGGTTTGTGATCTCAGAGAGAAGACAGATAGAAAAAAATAGGAAAACTGAACTATTATATATAAAGTGTTTAATTTACGAAGACATAGAAAATCGGTGGCAGGGGTCCAGTAATAAAAGTAAACTCCTTACAAAAAGTCTTGCATAATATGGCAACGCGTTAAAAAAGAATGTCAATCAAAACCACCATAACACCTCTTATCTTAGTTTAGAAATTCAGAACGACAAGTTAAATCAAAAATATATTTAGAAGTAGGTATTTTGTAGTTATAGTTAATTCCACCGCAGTCGTTAGTCAAGTAAATAAATCTCTTCATCTTTGCGATATGTTTTGGTTGGAGACTCAGTATAAAGATTTGTTCAGTTCTTAGAACTATTTCAAATGCTGAAACTCTTTTTATCCTTCTTAAGTCTTTTTTAAATGACTTTTTGTAAATGCAGTTAATAATTCATTTTAGTGACGCTGTACCGAGCAGTGAACGCCTTAGATATGATTAATAAGTTTTATGTTAAAACAGTTTAGTAGAGTGAGATAAAAGTACAAAATGACAGATGTCTAGTGGAAAATAAAGATACTCAAAGTAGAAAAATACTAAAAAATAATCTAAGTAAAATGTAGTAAAAACAAACTAGAACAATAAACAATAGTCGAGGAAAGTAAGAGTCATTAATTGTTGTGCTACTAAACTGGCGTTAGTGTCGAGCATAAATGTAATGTATAGTACCAGTGATGGAGCATAATTATTCGTTTTATAAGTAGTTATTAGGGTGATAAACATAAATTTTAGATATAAGTGTGTCATGGACGTATCGAGTATGTTATGGGTTTGCGCCTTATGGTACAGTATGAACATGAAGACCTCCAGCTTTCATCCGAGACTGATATCCTAAAAAAATTTCCACTCTTGGTCTACAACAGGGTATCTTTTTAAGGCATCCAATTATGTTATCCCAAAAGCACTTTTCTCAGAGTATCCCAAAAGGACATTTTCCATAGATTTCTGCATTGACACTGAGACCAGAGGACTTTTAGTGGGGTTCAATACAAGTTGCATTCAATTGAAAGTAATTTTTGTAAGTGCAGTGGTTTGTCTCAGTATAACAAGGTTCAGTGAGAGTTGTGAACTTTTTCTTATAGCTGTGTATGTAATGTAAATAGTCAATCCAGTGTACATGTGTGTGTCTACTGTAGTAGCATGTTTTGATATTGTGAGTTAGTCCTTTGACGTCTGTAAAATAAACAAACTATTACAACTAGATCTAAAATAATAAAATAGAATTACACCAATATAGTAATAATAACTTTTGTATATATTTTACAACTAATAATTTATAATCATATGGAATTTTGCAGCCTAACAGGTAAATTTATGTGATGCAAAAGTGTGTTTTGTATTTTGTATAAATGACAAGATTAACTTGTGCATATCACGTGACTGTAATGTAACCAGGAGTATTTGAAGTGGAGTAGAATTATTTGTTTTATAAAACAGTTAGCAGGAAGCCTTTAGTCAATTAAACAGACTGTATGTAAAGTGTGAGTGATTTTGTGTGATGGACGATTTACAGTAAATATTTAATAATATGAATAGTATAATATAAGAAATAATTATAGAAGAAAATCAGCATAAATTAAAAAAGAGAACAGTAAAGTGTTAATTTAGGATGCGAGGTGTATGCGCATAAGCATGTGTTTGTTGATGTTGTCAGTATTCTTCTTAGTATGTTATGTTAAGTAAAATAATTTTTCATCTATTGTATTAGTAGCTGCCAGGAAGATAGCCGTTGCTCAATAGCCTCTACAGAAATAAATACTTTTTGTTTTAAATACAATGCATTCTAGTAGAACGGCAATGAGCAGTGAACGCCTTTGAGAAGCATAATAAGTTCAAAAGGATGTAAAAGATTGAGATAAAAGTACAAAGGAACAGATCTCCAGTGAAAAATCAAAAATTTCTAAGAAGAGAAATACTAAAAATTATTCATAATAAAATGTAGTATATAAATAAGAACAATTAGCCATTGTCAAGGATAGTTGGAATCGTTAATTTTAGTGCTACTGAAACGTTGTTAGTGTTGAGCGTCAATATGATGTATAGATAGTGTAAGTGATGGAGCAGAATTATTCGTTTCATAAGTGGTTACCATATGGTTTGTATTATTAGCGTGATAAACATTTATTATAGATATATGTGTTTCATGGGCGTCTCTAGGATGGTATGGATTCGCGTCTTATAGTACAGTATGAATACAAAAAGACCTCCAGCTTTCATTTGAGACTGGTACCCCAAAGAAGTTCCACTCTGGATGTACACCAGGGTGTCTTTTTATTAAGGTATCCCATAGTGTTGTCCCAAAAGGACTTCCCATTAGGACAAATGTCACAGACCTCTGGATTGACACTGAGACCAGAGGACACTTGGTGGATTTTAGTAATACTTGCATACAATTGTGAGTAATTTTACGACGCAAGTGACTGTAAGTTCAGTGGTCTGTTACAGTATAACGAGAGTCAGTGAGAGTCGTGAGCTACATTACAATAGCTATTTCACACATTTGTTATATATTTCAGCTATTTTACATATTTTTTTGTGTTAAATAGGTGTTAGAGTAATGTTTATATATCCTATAATCTTATAATCCTGGATCCTATAATCCTGGATAACCCTATAAACATTAATCTCTAAATAAATTCTAGAAATGATAGTATCAATCCTAGATTGATAAGCATAAGTGTATTGAGTGGTAGATGATTAAAATAAAGGTGTTTTATTATTCAATTACACATGTAGTGTCAAGATGACATTCTCATCAGGACCATGATTTGTCATCAGGGAGTTTCGAAGGTCTGACTACTGACCAATGATCGACAACCTGTGGACACTACCTTGCTAAAATGGAGCACATGCTCAAATTTGTAAAACACCAGTATTTTATAATGGGATGATGCGCTTTGAACTTAGTTTGTTCTCTTGATGCCTGTTCCTGATTGGGGTTTCAGTATGTCTACATGAAAGTGCCAATAATGACATTTACATAGATATTATTAGACATATGTTATGTACCACAGGCATACAACATAAACTTTTTTTTTTCGCTTTTAAAAATTTATTATTTAAAACAGTTCGATAAATTAATTCTTATTGAAACATATTTAAATAGGTACTCGACGATAAAACCATACTTGTCGTCGAGTACCTCTAAGAAATGTTCGTGTCAAAATTTATAAGATATTTACGAGATAAAAAATAAGTTAACGAAGTAAGAAACCTAAAATATTCCGGTATAAATACTAGATGCATTATATCTATTATATATGAGATT